TCAATGAGATACTGGTTGCTAAGATAATGTTCGATTTTTAAACACTTAGAGATGAATAAACTCTTAATCAGATCGTATCCTTTCTTTAAGAGAAATAAAACATCCTTCAGATTTTAATTTTATTCTCAATCTAAAATAAATGCTAATGAAATTACAAAACATCCCCATTTGTCAAATTTCCCTTGCTGAGGTGCTATGGAATTATATATAGTTGGCCCTCTACAAGGCACTGCCCTTAATCATGCTTGTCGTGGTTTGTACTGAAACCCTGATATAACTTTAGTTGTAAAAATCTGGATTAGCCTAATGAAAGTCCCAAGGGCCTCATGATTAGGTAAGAGTCCTCCGGGGAAAGCTCTCAGACACTCACACGGCAACTGCTTTTATCAAAATCACTTTAAATTCTGCCTTAACTTCCACTTCACTACTTCACTAGATCTATTAATATACACTGTTGGGATCTTAAATTAAAACATATGATTTCTTGCTCTCAGACCTAAAGACAAGAGGATCTTTAAAGGCTTCAACACTCCCATCCTTGGTACAGCTGTCTCTTATGGCATCAGAAGTGTACACATCTTCCTCTTCAGCCAGATGCTGGTTTATTTAGGCACAGGAGCCTCCGCTTAGTCACTCCAGTGGCTCCTACAGTAGAGGGCACCACAGTGTCCCTGAGGTGGGAACTGAGTCCTCACTGAGTCACATAGTGACAATAAATGTGTGCACCATGTGGGTGTCTTCACAGCATCACTTTAACTCATAAAGTCCTGGTGAAAGAAATCACTTCTTCCTTTATGTAAGAACGTTTAGAGAGGTTGTCACATACTCAGGCTCATTTGGCTATAAAATCGCAAACTGGAGTTCAGAGCCTATATTCTTAATGACTATTCTTTTCGAAAATGAAATTCATGTATAATGGTTACTAGTAGCTACCTAATAGTTACATTAAAAATGAATATATTAAGATCAACAATTTTCCCAAATGCCACAAGAAATAATAGCTACTTGTTACACAGTGCTTATATCGTGATAGGTTTCATTTTGCTGTTATAGGTTGTTGTGGGTTGCCCACATGGATGCTGGGAACCAATGCTGGCAGCTCTTTTTTTATTTCCTATATTTTTATTTAAATGAGAAACAATCTTATTTTACATATCAATCCCTGTTCCCTCTCCCTCCCATCCTCTCATGTCCCCCACTGACCCCCCCATCTCAACCCCATCCACTCCCCAGGGAGGGTGGGGCCTTCCATGGGGGATCATCAAAGTCTGTCAAGTCATTTGAGGTGGGGTCTAGGCCCTCCCCCTCATATCTAGGCAAAGAGAATGTTCCTCCATGGGGAATGGGCTCCCAAAGTTCATTCATGCATTAGGGGAGAATGGAGCTCTTAACCACCGAGTCATCTCCTCAGTCCCTAAGTAATTTACTGACCTTAATTTATTTACCTGCCTTAACTAGCACTAGGAGGTAGATGTTATCCTCAGTGTTTCTTACCCCCTGGGTAATCCCTTACTCCCTGCCACCGCCTTCCTATTCATTATGTTTACTACAAAATGGAGCCTTAGGGTTTTTTTTTTCCCAAGTCTTTCTTCTTTTAACCCTGGAAACAGAAGTATCTTCAATGCTGCGTTTTGTTTTGTTTTCCCCCTGAGACAGTAGCTTTGGAGACTGTCCTGGAACTCACTCTGCAGACCAGGCTGGCCTCCAGCTTACATGTCTCTGCCTCCGAGTGCTGGGATAAAAGGTGTGCGCCACCACCACCAGGCTCTTCATTGCTGGTTTTAACTAGAGTTCCCATAGCCCTGATCCATCCCTGGTGTTTCTAATTGCTTGATCTGAGGTATATCCTGGGCACTGGAAGTTGAAGATGCTGCAAGTCATCAAATGCACACTTGATACTGAGAACCACTGTTTATTCACATCTAGCATCCAAGAGGTCTTTTTTGGATGTGACCGTCCCGTGCCCTAAAGTGTACTCACCAGTGGACCACATGTCTATAGCTCCTTTCCAGTTGTGTCAACCAAAAAATTTCTCTCAACTGGATGTGTTGTGTTTGGGGTAAAGCAACACGATGGCCCTTAAGAATCACTGGTCTAGGGGCATTATAGTAGCCCGGACTGTGGAAAGTCTTTTAGAAAGAAAAATCAGAAGGTTGGCTTCTATTACATTCACTTCTAAATGGCAAAATATACAGAGATGCCAAGGAGGCCTGGCAGGAAATACTCCTGTCACTGGGAGGAACTTCATCAGGCTGCTTTTTTGTTCTTTGAAGTTTTTCATTCCACGCAAAAACATGGCAAAGTTTCTGAGGAACATCTTGGAAAATTAAGGATATGACACAGATTTTCCTAACTGATCTGAGGCACACAGAAGGAAATTAATTTTGTTTTAATTAGTGTGAACAGCATGGCCTGGGTGAGATCTTGTCTCTGGATAGGGAATTGCTGCTGTAAGTAGAGAGATAAAGTTCAAAGTCACGGATGCTAAGTGCATGGAGACCCAGGCTATGTATGGGAATAAACTGCTTTAGTGGTAGTCTCAGTGTGGGATTGAAAGTGTCATGAAAACTGGGGAGTGAAAGGAAAGAGGGAGGTAAACAACAGGTGAACCAGTGAGAGTGTTGCCCTTGGTGGAGCCTAACCCTTTCAAGAGCTGCAGGGAAGCAGAGCTGAATACAAACCTCAGAGGTACAGGGCAAGAGAGCATCCATCTTTATTCACAGATTCCCATTTGTTGATGTCTGAGTGCTATCCAGGCATAGCCTTTCCTCAGTATTACTTTGCTGAGTTCTGACTCGACATCAGGAAGAGGGGTGGAGACTGGTAGTTGAGAGCACCCAGTTGGCCTGGGTAGTGGTTGGTGATGGGGCATAAGCTTCAGTTACAGCAGTTAACTTTAAAATATATTTGAAGGTAGTTTTGCTAGATAACAATTTTTAATTTATTTATTTATTTGGTTTTTCAAGACAGGGTTTCTCTGTAGGTTTGGAGACTGTCCTGGAACTCTCTTTGAGACCAGGCTGGCCTTGAACTCACAGAGGTCCGCCTGTCTCTGCCTCCCAAGTGCTGGGATTAAAGGCATACACCACCATCACCCCGCCAATGTTTAATTTCTTAAATTATTTATTTCTAACCATCTCTTTCTCTTTTTCTCCAAGACCAGGTTTCTCTGTGTAGCCCTGGCTATCCTGGATCTCTGTAGATCAGGCTGGCCTTGAACTCACGAGGTCCACCTGCTTCTACCCCCTGAGTTTGAGATTAAATTGGTGCACTCCCCACCTCTCCCACTCTGACAACAACATTTCATTTTTAATGAAGATTCTGTTATATTAAAGGACTTTGGGGAAGTCTATCAACGTGTTACCCTCATAGATACCTGTATCTTATTTATTCATTTGTTTATTTGAGGCCACAAAAGACAATCCCCTTAAGCTGAGAAGCCACCTGCTCTCAACTCCTCTTTCCACAAGCCCTTTCAGGTCCACTCGAAAACAAACCTTCTCCTTTCTCTGTTTCTATCTCATTATTTCAGGACAATGTCAATTTTTTTGTGGTGGCTGATGGTTTTTGTTTCCTTTCTTCCTTGCATGGACTTCTCATTCCAATTCTTCTTTCAGTCCCTTGACTCTAGAGGGTGTGTCGTTGGCATGTTTCTCCTTCTCATGTCACTCCAGCCCACCCTTATTCCCAATGACTTCCTTCTTCCTTTTCTGCAGGTATGGCTGAATGTCACTTCTTCCCTGAAGACTTTAATTGTCATACTTCATTCTATTTGTTTTTATCTGGCATGCTTGTAATTTTTTATGTCTATTTTTATCTATTTCCCTCACTAGAATGCAACCTTTGTACAGGCCAGAGTCATATCTATGTCCTTAATATCTGTAATAAGGTTGCCAGATTTAGCAAAGAGAACTATTGGTTTCCCAGTTAATTGTAAAGGTAAGATGAACCATGAATAGCTTTTTAGTATAAGGTTGTCCAAGAATTGAATAGGACATAGCACTAAAATTATTTATGGTTTATCAGAATTTAAAATTTAACTAAGCATCTTGTACTTCATCTGGCTGTGTAGTCCCTGGGTTCTAACATATGACTCTCATCACATATTATTAGAGGAAAACTTGGTAGCAGCAAATTTAAGTTGCTGCCATGGCAACAAAGCAGAGAGGGTCTGCTACTCCTATAAAACCAAGGCCAGGGCAGCTATCACTTTCCATATTTCTGTTCTGGCTTGCATATCTTTTCCTCCCAGGAGAACATAGTCAACCCACTTTCAAAATCTTGGGCAGCCCCGTCCTGGGATGGACACTGACCTTATAAAGGAAGCTTTGTAAGTTGGGTTCAGCTTGCTAGACAGTCATGCCTCATGTTTAGTGTGGTCTCCTCCTTGGGTATCAATTTCTGTTGGATCTGTCTCCCAAGACTGATTTTTCCATTTCAGCCATTCCATCCATAGCACCCTGCCCTAGGGTTTGTAGTAGGGATTTTATGCAGGCATACCAAATGGATTGACAAGTAAATGAATAGAAGGGTGAACAACTGTCCCAACTCAAGGAGGCTGACAGGTTTCCTAAAATACAGGACCGTTCCTGCAAAGTCCAGAGAAACCCAAATCTGGGCATCCTCAGACAGCTGCTCCCTTGGATGAATTACTGCTTCTTCTTGGTGGCTGAAGTTCTCATCTAGTTTCATTGTACATGACTACCAAAATTAGACACGTGGTGTCCTGGGTATCCACACAGTTTAGACAAATGACTGCTTTTTTGGAACTCTACTGACCTCAACTTCCCCATGTCTGGATTGACCCAAAGGTTTGACTTTGGACTTAGCCTTGACTCGTAGTTCTAATGCCTTGCCTGGTGCATAGTCTCTGACAGATACCTGGACTTGTGATCTTAGGGTAACACCCCCAGGCCAAGTACATGGGAAGTGCCCCCACCCCAAGTCCCCAGCCGTGAGCTTATCTGGCCCCACTAGTCCTGGATATCGAGTCCTGAAAATGACCATTTGCACATATTTATTGAGTAATTAGAAAGCCATAGGCATTCCTGAATGCATTTCCACAAACACTCTGAGTTACTTGACTATGAAAAGTGAGCTCTCATTGTAATCACTGCCCCCACATGCCCAGTGGGTGTGAGATTCTCAAGGAAACCATGAAAATCTATTCTCAATTACAGGAGCAGGCTTCAATCTCACTTAGGTTCTGTCGGATTCCTGGAATTGGGGGTGAAGTGGCTCTTGAGAGGCTCCCAGCACTTGTAGTAGTTCTTATCCAAACAACTACAGGTCTTGAGTCCCCACTTGGTGACCGCCAAACTCAAGGAAGTTTCAAACATAAATGCCTATAGGAAATAAGATGAAGATGAGAAAGAAGCAATAAGGTGATTATAAAGCATGTTTAATTAGATGCATAAAGAAGGTCTAGGTAGACAAAACACTGGACTAGTTATGGTTATATATACTTCCATGATGAAGAGAGGAAACACAAGTCCCGGGTTCTGGATCTGGTTTACCAGGCATAAGCTGATGAAGCTATATACAAGGTTTCTATCTACTTAGGGCATTGAGTGTGGGACTAGCATTGCTCATGGCATTCTGGAGGCAACGTTTTCATTTCCAAGGATAGATGTGATAGAACCCTGGAGTCTTCCAGGGACCATGGTTTTTAGTGATGTCCTTGTATATTGGGCATACCTTTACTTCTCAAAGAAAGACACAAAGCTCAGAGCTGGGAGGTGGCTTCTCTAAATGGTAAGTGATGGCAGAACTTAGGTCTTAGCCTGTCTCTTCAGGAGTCCAACCAAGAGTTCAGCTCAGAAAAAGGAAAAGGAAGAAGTGAGAGGAAATGATCCATAAAGGGGCTGCTGCTGTACACCCATTGTGTTCTGGACGTTTCTGGCCTCAGTAGAAGGAAGCTGAGAAATATTCCATAAGTATTAGATATTCCAGCTTTTTATCTGTAGTTGATTTTCTACCTACAGTGTCTTTTGTAAAATAACATCAAGCAACCCAAACCTTACAATTCTTTTTGCTCTCATTAGGAAATTGAAAATACTCTAGGACCAGGCCAAAGGAAAAATATAATATTCTTTTTGTGATACCACTCAAAACACCTGCTTTAATGCTTGGGGTCTCACATACATTGATTTCTTCTTGTCTGTGTTTGTGGAGATGCGTGTCTTTGCCTGATTTCTATGACAGGCTTAGAGGTAGAGTTTTGAATGTGATGCAAAGGTGTAAAGCCTGGTTCACACACAAGGATAAATACTACGGCCATTGTTATTGTTGTCTTCTGCTGACTTCTTGAGCTCTTCGCTGTCAGGCTGAGCTGTGAAGGATCACATAAACCACTTCACACTGGAGTAAGGATATGACAGATTGATCTGTGTCTACATTATATCATGGGGAATGGTAAAGGAGACATAAAGTTAGAGTTAGGTAAAGTTTCTACTTATGTATGTGTGAGTAACTCTGTGTGTGAGTATGCACATATATGTATGCAAGTGTCTGTGTGTGGGGAGATATCCTCCAGAAATCCAGTCCCTTATCACCCTGTCCTCTTCCCAAGTCAGCTCCATCTCACTAGCAATACAGGTCTTGAACATTGCTCAAATCCCTACTGCTGTAAAAGTAGTCCTACACCTCACCGTTGCAGAAAACTGTTCCATAATAGCATGGCTTTCAAAAGCTCATTTGGAGGTCCAAGGTTATTGATGAACAACTCTAGGGTGTATTGTACATTTTCAAGGGCTGTCAGAGGCAATAGCCTAACCAATATCATCAAACAGTGTCTCACAGAGATGTAGGTCCCCATAAGTACTTCCAGGAGGCTCTTTAGAGGGTTATAGAGCCTAGGCTGAGGTTAGGAAGGACTCTGTGTCCCTCCCTCCATAAAAGCAGCTCTGGCTTTGGATTTGGGCCTAAAAGTAAATCCCATTGGACAGGGTGGACAATTAATGTAAGGAGTTTACAAGCCAGGCTTTTAGTCAAGCAGGTCTGTGTTATGAGTTTTAAACTATGTAGCATTGAAGGCATTTGTTTTAAAATGTGAAGCAAGTTTACATATGGTTTAGCATAAAATTATTTCTTGCGGTCCATTAAGTCTATTTCCAAGAATGCAAAAAAAAAAAAATTCAAATCAAATCAAGTACTGCAGCCAACTGCAATTGTGTTCTGCCTCAGTGTTTACAGCCGGACACAAGAGGAATACAAAGCAGGGTTTAAATCCCACCAGCTTCATCCCATGCCAAAGGAGAACAAAGAAAATGAAAAAAGCAGCTGGGAATTGCTGCTCACAAGCCCTGACTATTGCGAGGCAAAGACTGCTTGACCTTCCTTTGCTTTTGGAACTGGCTGAAGGTGACATTTACCTCCTCTGTTACTGTGGTCCTCAGGATTACTTCTCATATAGAACACTCTCAGACAGAATGCGCGCGCGCGCGCGCGCACACACACACACACACACACACACACACACACACACACACACACACACACACAGCTGCATATAGATACCATAAGACCCTTTGAAGGGTATTAATCATAAGGCATTATAACTAACAAATGTCATCTGGGTTGGATAGCATACCCATTTTACAGATGGAAAAATGAATCATGGAGCAGTTAACATAGGAATTAAGAGCTAAGATTTGAATTGGTCTGACTCCAATTCCTAGGCTATCACATCGGAATTCTAGTATATGCATACGGCTGTATGTATTTATACTTCTAGCATTCATATACAGACAGAAGACTCTCCTAACTCTGCCTCTGTGACTTTGGAGTAATAAAAAAAAAAAGAGCTGCTTTTCTCTATAGAAGATTGCAGAGCCCAGAGGCAGGCCCCAGAAGCATTAGCTTGCTTACCATGGTGCCATCAGCTATCCTCTCAGGTGCCAATTTAGCTTTGGTGGCCTTCTCAAAGCAGTCTGCATCTGGGCCATGGGGGGTCATGGCACTGTGCAAGCTGCCTCCCCCTGGCTGGAATCCATCTTGCTTTGCCTCATAGTGACCTTTGATGAGTCCCATGAATTCACTCATGCAGTTCCCTGGGAAGGTAGAGGTAGTATTATTTTTATTATCCAAGGCAAGACCCATAAAAAACATGAAGACTTCCCAAACAGTATTTCTTCTAGGTTTTCAGGTCTTATGTTCCAAATTCAACAAATAATTCCACAATAGCACATGTTTTCACCATATTTCTAGTTCCCCATCTAGAAAGAGCATGCATGTGTGCATACAAGCATGAATGTGTGTGCGTGTGCGTGTGCGTGTGCGTGTGCGTGTGCGTGTGTGTGTGTACAGGACACACAAGGTCCAGACTTAGAGGCCATTATCTAGTGATAATCTATAGGCCAGATGGTTGGTCTCCGTAAGACACAGTGATTTATTATAACATATAACTGGATCTGAACACAGCAGACTATCACTCCTCTGTTCTCCTGGAACCTGAAATCTGAACATTGGAAATGAGCCTTCTCCTACTCCCGACAAGCACTTTTCTGCATCATTCCTTATGGATTGCTCCCTGGGCTCTGCTTGCACACCCCCCATGAATGGAAGGCCTTACAGAGCAACCTATCATGTTACTGAATAGCTCTCAGTGTTTGTTTGTTTTTTATAATTAAATGGACATTTTTTACATTGCCTTCAAGTGTCACAAGGAATTTGACAAAGCCCACCATGCTTCCATTCTTTTGGTATTTTATTCTGTTGCAATAAAACTCTTTATCAACATGACAAAAACCTAAAAGCAGGAATTAAATCTGACACCTGGGTAAATGCAAATACTTTCCCAACTCTGTGTATCCACTCATCTGTCTGTTTTCCACGTCACTCACTGCCCCTCCATCCATACTGAAAATATAAAATTCTATACTATTCTAACTACTATGCTACACAGAGGAATAGGAAATAACCATGCTTAAAGCTGCTCATTGTATATCCCATGGGAAGATGGAGAGTGCAGAGCAGAAGTGACAGCCCTTGCATAGTAAAACGCTTGACAGGCCAGTGATTTGCCCTTCTTCCTACCATGTGAAATATAAGCAGATACCACAATGCCTCTGTAACCTACTGAACAGTCACCCATTCCCTGCCTCCTACACAACACACTGCTTCAGGCCCTACAAAGTGAACATGAGCTAACCCTGAGGAGAACGTGAGACCCAGACCATAGCCCCACATTCTTCTCATGAAGACGATAAAGGGAAAGAAGCAAATGGAAGCCCTAAGAAACGGTATTTTAAGAACAGTTCTGCACATAGCTTCAATCTGCAGTCACATCCTCGCTGTACTACATGTCGCCAGGGTCACCTTCACAGCCTAATTTTAAGAAGAGAGCAAGACAGAACTTGGTTTTGATCTGAACGTGAATTTAGTTAGCAATGAGTTTGGTGAAGATATCCTACATCACTTTCGATATTTCAAAGGACAGTGGGAGGGTAGACCTTGCCTTTCTGATTAAAGCTGGATCTAGTTGGCTACGGTGCATTAAAATGACTAGAGGCAATATTTCTACAGAAATAATTCCCCAGGTCCCCTTAAAGTCACATCAAAGTAACAAAGATTTGGAGTATCACTGAAGCAATATTTTTTATATCTCTGATAAAACTAATTTCTAACTTCGGGTTCTGTGGGTGTTTTTTTTTTTTTTTTTTTTTTTTTTTTTTTAAAAAAATTTTTTTTTTTTTTGGTTTTTGGGGGTTTTTTTTTTTTTTTTTTTTTTTTTTTTTCAAATCAACTCAGGGTACCATATCTTTATGAGATGGTATTTGGGGACAAGTCATTAAAAACATCATAGGAGGCATTTCACAAGGCCCACTGTTTCAGGCACTCTGCAGTACAAATGGAGATTAAGGAGTGGATTGGGAGCCCAGAGCACAGCAGTACAGTTGTTGTCCCTCTAACTAGGAGGAAAGACAAGCCCTCCACTACTGCTCTCAATAGAAAGTCTGTAGACCTCTGGGTCAGAAGCCTATGGCTTCCTAGTTCAAAGGGCAGCCTCTGAGTTTCTACTTTAAAGCCAATGAATTAAACTCTGGGAGAGGGAAGCTTGAGAATAAACTTAAAAGAGCCGGGGTCCTCTTGATGGTGACCTGGAAGGGGCATGCTGGCTGTCATCTGACTGTGAAGTGGCCTTCTTTCATCCAACAGCCTTACTTCCCCACCCTCACAAATGCTGAACTGGCCCATTCAGTGCAGCTGTACACCATTAAGTGCTGGTACCTGGGAACTGCTAGTAACAGAAAGGAAGGTATATAAACAGGAGGTTCTGTGGTTAACTATGGAAAATCATTTGCTTTTCTAGAATGTTCCAGCTGAAAATGCACATTAGAGCCTTTCCAGAACTCTGTGTTCAAAAACTGTAAAATTCTCCTGGAAGCAGAATTGTGCCTTGACCTGTTTAATTTGCACAATTAAAAATGTCAACCTCATTAAACACAGCTGCGGTATACTTATTCATTCTTGGTAATGTATTCACTGGCTGAATAAATATTTCTAGACATGTATTATGTACAGGCCACAGCACTAGCTGCATCAATTAGCAGTCACATGTGTCTGCTTTGGCATCAGACAGTCTGCAATTAAATCCTGACCCTGCCTCTTAACTAACTGTGAGACCTTGAGAATTGCTTATTCCCCTGTGTCAGTCTCCTCTTCTGGGAAACAGAAGGGAGATAATTGATATTATCTATCTCTTTGCTACTCTTTTAACCCAAATAAGTTCATACTTAAAAAAAAAAAAACTTAAAATAGGGCCTTAGAAACTTGCCAACAATCATTAGTCATTAGTCTTAATTACACACACACAAAAATAAAACTGGATTTGTTGGAATCACCTTCTGTACTGTGCTGGTGGCCGGGGGGAGAAAAGCTATGAAACGATCTTACTCATCAGTGAATTCTACCAATTTTACCAGCTCTGTAATACTAACCTGCTAGTGAGATGCGCCTACAAGTGCATTAGTGGTATGACTGTCATGGGGGAAACCAACTACTCTCTAGATCTGAGGCCTGTGCCATAGAAGGGATCCTTTGCTTGGTTCTGAAAGCCTAGTCAAAATGCAAGTCTTGGGAGGTCATAGGCCATGCAAGGAAAATTAATACTGATACTCAACCACATAGACACAATGCCAAACTTCCTTCTAAATATTCCATGCTCATTTCTTATACAGAAGCTACTCTCAATTCTCACTCCAAGAAGCTTCTATTTGCAGTGGACACTGGTGAGTTCAGAGTCTCATGGCTGCTCGAGACGCTGAAAATGCGTGGAAAATGAGAGCTCAGGCCCAAACAAGTTATTTATACAATCCCTTTTAAGACTCAGAGGATGGTGTGGAAAGACAGACTGAAATAGCATAAAATCTGGACAATAGGAAGAAGAGGGGCAAGCACCATCCTTTAGATACAACACAGACAATGTAGTTATGAACTCACAGCAAACTACTCGCCACCCTTAAAAATGCACATCTGAAATGCACTTCTCAATTCATGCTCTACTAACCTTTCTGTCTCTCTTTAGGCCCAGAGAAACAGGAGTCAGGTTTAGTTGATGAATCTCCCTGCAGTCATTGTGAGGTTGGAGCCTCTCAAAGCCCAATAGTAGCCTGAGAGGCTTGGTTCTAAACTCAAGGCACAGCAGGCAATCCAAGAACAACCTGGCCATTGTCCCTAGTGCCTCACTCCTTCACTGTTTCTAGTTTCCAGGGGTATTCTGCTAAAATACAGACTTACTGTGGTAATAAGGAGGCCTAAAGGTTTTATCTGCTACCCCCCACCGAGGTGGGAAGATGACAAAGTCAGCGATGGCCACCCCAGGTCGGGTAGACTTGGCAGTCAGCACTGTGAAGATGGAAGGATCCTGTGAATACACAAGGAGAGACTGAAGTAAGACACTCAGGAGGCGACTGAACAATGACAGCATGTCACCTGCACAGGAGGGTGTTTTCAAGTGACAGTTTCTGATTAAGTGACCCAGGTTAGGCTTGGCTATTTGGGCTCTGACTGAGGTGCAGTAATCACTCATGTGACTGTCTTCTTGCTGTGATTGAAGCAAAATGCATTCATGCCAGATAAGAGGGCCAGCAGCTGCATTCTTAGACTGCTGAGTCTACATTAGAAACGCCCTATAGCTCTGAGAGCCCAGCACTTCTCCCCAGAGGCTGAGTGGCAGGGAGCTTGGTGCTGCTCTGGGAATGTTGGGAAACAAACAAAGCAGCCCTCTGCATCCTAGGGTAGAGGTAGGTATGCTTCTTGGGGAGGCAGGGTATCAGAGGTGTCAGGTGGTGTCTGCCGGCAGGAAAAATCTGAGAACTGGTTAAAATTAATTAATTTTATGACTCTTGATTGACTCAAAGAAGGACAAGACTACACATTTTTCCAAGAGCTTTAGACTCCTAGATGGAAAGAGCAAGACTCAGTTTAATTGATACCCCTGTTCACTTTCAGACGCAGAGCAGACATCTGGAAATTCAAAGATGGGGAGTCTGTTCCTTACTCCTTTAATTTTAATTGGGGAAAGGAGAACGTGGCTATTTCTTTTTTCAAAATAACTCTGTTGACTTTGTTCTTGGACAGTTTTATGCATTTATACAGTGTGTTCTGGTAACAGTCAGCCCTCTCCCGGCCACCTCCCATTCTCATCTCCTGTGACAGGATCAGGGAAAGCTTCAAAGACCTATAACTTGAGCTAAATCTTTAAAAGTGAACAAAAGAAAGGAAAGGGGGTAGAAGAGAAAAGAGGAAGAGAGGGAGGGATTTTATCAGGGAAAATAGAAAAGATATCAAGGTACGATGAAATTTTGTAAAGTGGGGGGTGGGGGGGTTAAAGCCAGGGTGTAGTGAAAGAGGAAAGAGGGGCAAGATGTGGTCTAGAGAGAGAAGCCCAGGGCCAGATGGTGAGGAGTGTCAAGTGTTAAGCTTCAGAGTTCAGACTCAATCCTAAACCATGGGGTGCCTGCAAAGGTTTTCTGCAGCAGTGGTGGGATGACCAGATCTGAATTTAGGGGAGCTAACCACCACAGCAGTATAAAGAAGGGTGAACCTCTGTAAATCCAAATGAAAAAACAAAACAAAACAAAACAAAACACAAAACTATGAACAAAACAAAAACTGGACCCAACCCTTCTAGCTGGAAGAGTTACCATTTTTTTTTTTCTTTCATCTGTCATGGGAAATGGTCAGAAGCTATTAAAAGAAAGACAAGGTAGGAAGGCTCAAACAGAGCTTTAGCGAGGTCTCAGGGTGCTTCTTCGTGATGCTCTGGGCTTGGAATCTTGATTTTCTTTTTCCCCTTTGGTTTTATTAAGATTCACTGTTGTTCAGAAAGGTAGTCAGGGCCCCCTAGAGAGGGGCTGAATTGGCTCAGTGTAATCCTTCTATCTCTGACTCTCTGGCTTCTGCCCCAATTATCCCTCAGCTTGTGGGTTAAGTTAATCTATTATGAAGTACACCACAAAATGAACTTCCCCTCAGGGTCACAGAACTGTAGCAAGCATATGTGTTCTCAGGAGCCTGCACAGTAGACCAGGGACCTATCCGTGGCCCCCTAATTGACTGAAAAATATGAGCAAATTCAAACATTAGGTTTTTTTTTTTTTATTTATTCAAGTATTCAACTTTTGAGTAACTTTAAAAGAGGGCTGGCTGCCTTGCTCTTCATAGCCAACCACAGCTCAGGCTGGTGAGCAGGTAGACAGCCAGGGCAAGCACAGTACATGCCCCAGGTTCGCAAGGTGGCCAGACAGACCTGTAAATGACCTTTCCTCCTGACTTCATTATTATCATTAACAGGTTTCCTTTTTCCATTGCATGAGAGTTGTGATTACACTGCAGAAAAGTAAATTAGGCTGAGCATTTCTTGGCTTCCTTATTTGCCATGGAATGTATTCCCTCACTAAAGGACAAACGATCCTTTTGAGGCTTTACAAGAATGACCTTGAAAACCACAGGCATACTCTGGATTCCTCCCATTCAAGGATTGTCCCACCCCCAGGGTTCCTGCATGGTCCAGACTTACCGCATGGTCAAAGGCCACTGCATTGATAACCATGAAGTTCTCTAGGTTGTACTTGTAGGGTGTATAGTTTCCATGCCAGGCCACAACATTGAATGGGGAGGCATCCTAATCACAAAAGCCAGGAAAGCATGGTCTTAGATTGTAATATTTTTGTAGTTGTGGACTTACAATACTTACTGACATAACTCTTTCTTATTTGATATTGTTCTAAATTTAATTAGACCATCTAAATTAGACCATCCTTAGGGAGCATTAGCACTGATAATCATTCTGTGGTTGCTTCACACTCCTCCTAGGTCCTCACTTTGTCACTAACCCCTTTTCTAGTTCATAAGCTGCAGCTGTCAGTCTCATCATCCACACAGCCGAAGCCTAGCAGACTCATCAAGCAGTGCTTTTTAAATTTTTAACCTAACTGTAGGAATCTGTAGATGCCAGCAGTTCTCAAACAATCTGGGCTTCCCTCTGTTTCCTGGTGCAGCAGGCACTTGCTCTGATATTTCTCCAAGGTTTTGCAGCCTAAAGGAAGTTCTCATAGACACAGAGTCTGCTGATGAGTTTGTGGAAGAAGATACCTTGAAGACATCCAGCCTAATTGTTTGAGATTCCAGAATGACATTAACACCATTCCCTGTTTCATCGTGGGTAGGAGATCACTTTTGTGCTATGGATTTATGGTTTTCTTCATGGGTGCAGTGCACCTAGTCAAGAATGAAGATTCGATGAAGAAAATTCTAAAATTCGGGATGTATGGCTGGTCAAAACACTGGGAACAAGAGATGTCTTTGTATTTATGACATTATGGTATTCTCAAGAACAAAGGGAAAAAACTTAAAAACTTAGACATTCTGGTATTCTCAAGAACAAAGGAAAAAGAAAACCATGCATGAAGGCATGGTTTAGGGCTAAGCGGAATGATTAGAAGATTGAGATATCTGAGCTTTACAATAGTGGGAAGTCATTAACATTCCTGCACTTGAGAAATAAGAAGGGAAAATACTGTGATAGGAAGCCAGCAAGATCTGGAACCATGAAGAAGGATATATTCGTAAATATTTGTAGCTAGTTCTCTGGGGAAACACAGCTCTGATTTACAGTATTTACTGATATCTGGAAAATGAATACTTTCACTATGATATTTTATCTTTTCCCCCAGTAATAATATGTTTTTCTGGTTTAAAAAAAATCCCAGATGTTGAGTGCCTTTACTCATATACTGAGATCTGGTTTTGAGTCCCAGTGTGACACTGCTGAACACCAGGGTGGTGAAGACCTGTGCACATTAGCTTTACAAGGCGCAATGAACTGAGTTCTCACACTGAGGCCACTCAACATGAGCTAGAACAGGACCCATTCATGTCTTAAACATGGAGGAAACAGTGAAGAAATGCCCAACTATTCTCCCTGATGTCATCAAGTTCCTTCCAGTTGAAACAAACAATAGACAGTAGGCTAAGGAGCCCAGGTTGCTTTGTGGATAAATGCCAGCCTCCTAGGGCACAAACCATGGCAGAGGAGAATGGACCAGTAGGACCATTACAAGAACCCTCTGGGAAGTAGAAAGCTTTCTACAGTAGCTGCTGGCTACTGCCAGAATGGAGGCTCTCTATCAATTTCATATAAAATAATAAAATAATAATAATAATAATAATAATAATAATAATAATAATAATCTGGGGAACATACTTAAAATTCATGTAGATCTGTACTTCTCAATCCGTGCAGGTTTTTGTTTTTGCCAGGTGAGAGAATTCATGTAGGTATGAGCATTTTAAACAAGGCTTTCTGAGGCTTTATAATACAGATGGTTCCTGAACCACTTATGAAAAATCCTGACCCAGAGACCGTGAGAATAACATATTGCCATTAGCTCCAGGGCTTAAACTGAAGGTTCAGACTGGTTTGCCTCTGCTGGTCATCATGGCCTTTTGGTGTTATTCAAGGAAAATAACACATGTTGGGCAAATATAAACAGTGAATCAGATGAATAAAGCAAACAAATAACAGTAACAGAAGGTCTATTTGGGTGCCTTTCATTATGTGATTAATCTGTTCTAACATCATGCACTCAACAAGTTGAGTAATAATATATAGTAGTAGCCTAGCATGATAGTGCACTCCTGAAATGTTCTCTCTTGAGAGGTAGAAGCAGGAGGATCAGGAGTTCAAGGTCACTCTCAGCTACAAAGCAAGTTCAAGGCCAACCTGGGCTACATGAGACCTTGTCTCAAAAAATAAACAAAAAGCCATATAGTATTATAGCATAGATTATATATATATGTATATATATTTATATATGTTACTACATAACATATATAACATATGTTATTTTGGATATATGCTATTTTATATGACACTCTTATAGAAGACAGGGGCAGAATGTTATCCTGTCTCAAAATTAATTTTATATTATTGCCTATATCCTCAGTTTACTAGGCCTCTGTTTTAATTGAAGCTACTTAACTAAATTCTCTTTGTTTTGGATCAACAACCAATCACTTGTTTTTGGAATAAGGTGGTCACTGAGGAATATCAATCTTGGCTATCTTTGTGGCGACTCACCTTCTTTTTCAGAACGTATTAGGTGGCCTATATGTCATGTTCCCATGTCATTTTTAGAGACTTGCATTTTGCCACTCTCTATTGCTAGATGAGTAGAAAAAGCACAACCTCTAGAAGAGTTGGGTTTTTTAAAACTCTGCTTCTTTCACTTACTGGGACATGGGACAGGGGAGAATTAATTATCACTATCTGACCTGTTTCCATGACTAGGAAGGCAAATAGTAGGTAATTTTCAGTACCTTAGTGGTGTGATAAAGACAAAAGAATGCATGTAATGCTAATCTCGGCTATCAACTGGTGCTTCATAACCCCACATCCACCCTCTGGCCTCCAACAGTCTTACTTTACCTGTTTGGAAGCAAACAGCTTGCCCTGATATTTATTAATCACAGTGTAACCACCTGGCACTTGACGATCTTCATACCAGGCAACAGGGATCAAGAAATCGCGAGGATTGGCCAGGCCATTTGCTCCTAGAACACAGTAACCCAAACCCCATTTAGATACTTCAGAGGTTAAAGGAAAGATGCCCAGCTGAGTGCCTGCCCAGCATATGTGAGCCCCTAGGTTCAATCCCAAGGAGCACCAAATCTGTTGGATCAGTCTTCTAGATTTGTAGAAATCTAGATGTGGTTGAAAAACAGAGAATTTCAAAAATCCTCATAAGCAGCATTGTCTCCTAAAATTATAGAGTGATTATGGCTCATAGACTTTTTATAGCATTACCTCATCACTCATCATATAGTACAGGCGAGAGAAAGGGAGGGGAAGGGACCAGAGAAGAGGAAAGAGGAAGAGTTGAGAGAACAGCAGATCCCTGTCCAAGGAAGCCTGGGGACTCTCCAACACATCCCTAGACCACCATCTCATATAAAAAGGCTATGGGCTATTGTCCCAGGCAGGCCTGTGCCCTGTAGATAGACCTCAAAGGCCAGGACTATAAAGCTGCTGTCCAGCCTAAAAAATATGTGCCTACCACTCAGAGAGGACGGACTGAGGACCTGCCTGTCTAGCTTTGTGAACTCAGGAGTGAGTGTTCCCTCCAGAGAAAGGAAATAAATCAAAAGACAAAACATGAAAAAGCACAAGTGCAAAAACTTAATTTAACTCGGAGAGGAGAGGCCTGGGGAGTGTTTTATCATTTCCAGCTCCTGGGGTTAAAAGAAAAAATAAGCCCCCAGCTGGTTAGTAAATTATATATATTTTCCAGAGGGTACACGCTCCGCGGAACCTGAAGGCTCGGCTGCCTGCACAGCAGCAGGAAGTGGGAAGAGTGGGTGGCAAGCGGGATGACAGACGGCCCACCAAGGCTTCAGCTGCCTCTCTGCTGCCTCCCACCTTCCTCTGAATTATTTGGATCCCCAGGGGAGTGACCAGAAGGCACATGCTGGCCTGTCCTTGTTGCTCTGAAAAGCTGTTGACACGGAAGGAAAGAACTAGGAGGTATGGCTCAATATGAAACCAGAGGCCAATTTCTCCGGCTGGCTCCTTTTTTTTTTTTTTCCCCAAGGGAGGCTTGAGAACAATTGCTCCTAAGATCTTCACTTCCCTCCTGCATCCCCCGCCTTCAGCCCTTTGAAGAGTAGGGGCTGGGAGGGCGGAAGTTTTACTCTATCTCATGGGGGCTGTTGTATCTAGCTCCTTCACAGAGTGATACACTTGTTACTGTTAAGTGTGTGGATTTTGTGACGTGTGCTCAGAAGGAATGTTCAAAGGATGTTCAAAGGCCATGAGTCACCCAATCCAGTCCATGCTTCCGTGGGAATAGAACCCAGGCCATTTTATGACGGAAACACACAGCTCATTGACTTCACAAAGCTCATTCTCATTAGCATATATTTAAGTGGTTCCCTTGCCTCTTCTCTTTAATACGCCACCAAAAGTTAATCAAATCCCAGGGCTGGGGGAATGTGGCTCAATTGACAAAGTGCTTGTTTAGCATGCTTGCAGGCCTGGGTGCAGTCCTCTGCTCTGCGTGGGACTGGGCATGGTAGTGAGCACCTGTAATCCCCACATTCAGGAAGTAGTGGCAAAGGGATTAGAAGTTGAAGGTCATTCTCATTTATATAGAGAATTAGAGTTCAGCCTGGGATATAAGAGACCCTGACTCAAAAACAAAACAAAACAAAAAGCCCAAAAGAATCTCATCAAACCTCAGATCTCATTCTTGGTAAACCTATTCTTGTGTTCCCCTTCTGTATCCTTTGTCATACACACCATCTAACCAGAAACCCATTAAATGCCTTTATCATCATTGTTGTGTAATTTTAGAGAAACTTAGAGTAGATTGGTTTGGGCCATTTTCTGTTATTTCCTGTGTTTTCTAGGAAGGCACTTATTCTAAGGAAGCTGTCTGGAGAGGGAAGTTAAGTTGGAATGTCAGAGAGGAAGAGCTGGAAGGAGATGTGTCTCCAGGGAGGCTCAGAGTGAAGGTTTACCAATGGGCCCCAGGTCAGGTAACTCAAAGTGGACACCATAGACCTCCAGGATGTAGCCCCTGGTCTCTTCGAAGACATCGACGCTGAATCGCATTCCTCTCTGGGGGACATAAACACAAGCATGCCCTCTTAAATAAATCATGCACTTGAAGTTATATGCAGAAGAACACTGATCATGTTTGCAGGTATGTTATTGTGGCAGTTCTGCAGGTGCGGTTCTGTTGGAGTGGGCGTGGCCTTGTTGGAAGAAGTGTGTCACTGTGGGGCGGGCTTTGAGGTCTCCTATGCTTAGGATACCATCCAGTGTCTCAGTAGACTTTCTGTTGCCTGCAAGATGTAGCCAGCACCATGTCTACTATATGCACGTCACCATGGTCCCCAACTCCCACCATGCTCCTCACCAAGATGGTAATGGACTGAACCTCTAAAACCGTAAATGAGCCACCCCAATTAAATGTTTCCTTTATAAGAGTTGCTGTGGTCATCGTGTCTATTTACAGCAATAGAAACCCTGAGACAATTGTGAAAGGCAAGCAGATTAAAGATGGGTTACAAAGAAAAATCTAATTCCTAACCATATCCACAATTAATCTCTCTTTGGGTCCAGAGATAAGAGCAGCCTCCAATTAGCGTATATATATTTGAATATCTTCACTATCTCCACTCTTCGACACAGCCTTAAGCAGACCACAAACATTTACGAAAGTGATAAACATTCTTTGCTTTGTGATTGTATTAAACAAAGCAGGCACTGAGCCTGCTTACCCCGAAGCCTTCTGTGTAACTCACATTCCTCTCTGTTGCCCAGACATGATGGAGACGTTTTTGTGTCAGAAATAGCAGCAGCTGAAACATCTGATTGCTCCCAAATTAGGGAGAGGCAGTGGGGAGAGGGGCTCATTACCAACCTGAATGACGCAGATCTCATTGGGCTGCAGGAGCATCTTGCCAAACTCTGTGTAAATGAGAAGCTTCCCTTTCTGGGGAACTGGCAAAGGAAGAACAAATGACAAGGCAGTGGTGAGCAACCCTGTTCAAGGGAGACCCTGAAGGCTTAAGGGCTGTATTTGCTTGTTATTGCAAATGAGGAGAACTTTCTTGTGTCTCTTGGGGGTAAGTTATATTCTGACAGTGTCAGTTAACTATTTTACTGTCTAGAATATTTTGAGAGTTCTTCAAAATCTCCACCATCCCCCTTACCCCCATCCCTTTTGAGGAGCTTGTATATATGCACTTTTGTGAATTGACCCAAAAGGTCATAGAAATAGCATGGTTAGAAATCACTCTTTTCTGACATTTCAGTGGAAATGCTCACATTTGCAAGTCTACCGGCCACATGAAAATGTTCACGCCCAAATACTGATACTAACAAACGGCATGGGAAGACCAAAATCATCTCAAATGGGCCTTATATTTTTAGATGGTCTCATAAAATTTTTACCTGAATGGTGGTTATTGATGATAAATGGGCTTTCCTTGTGTGAGTTTAAAAGCAAATAGAATTTTCCTAATAAGTGCGTCATATGTTATTAACTTCATTTCAGCTGCCAAGATCTCCCCCACATGAGAGAGGCCCACCAGAGACAGCCACAGGCAGAAAGCCCAGAACATACATTAGACACTTTGAGGTATGCTAGGAATCTTTTCCAGACCACCAGTGGCGTCTGGACCTTACTCTGTAGATGGTACTTCATTTGCTAAAATAGATGGAAGAATGCAGGCAAGTAAAATGCAACAACAGCAACAAAACCTGGAACGTAGCTCAGGCTAGGGATCAGTCAATCTTCTCACTCAGGAGCTTACCAATCAGGAAATCCCCATCTGAATTGTAAAAGCATCTGAAATACAGAGTTACTTTCTGTGATTTCTTTCCATTTTAACACATTCTGGACAAGTATATTCATTCTACAAATTATTATTTAGTGCCTACCACAAACCAGGTGCTGGATATAAAAATGGCCTGCCTGCAGAACCCCCTGTGGAGTTAAAAGTCTAGCAGACTGCAACAGGAAATACACAAGTGCAGGACTCTATCGGATGCAAGGCATACCTGGTGCTGGGAAAGTCAAGTTCAGGGACCTGCACTGGTTTGAGGAGAAAACAAAGGCCTCCCTACGGATGACACATTTGACAAGAGATCATAGAGGCAAGAGAAGATATACCAGTCAAAAAGAGTAGCATGTTCAGGTGCTCTGGGGCAAGAAGGCTCATAGCATGTTGAGAGAAGTAAAGAGAGGCTATTGTGGCTTACATGGAGAGAATGGAGGTGACCCAATACAGGGCTAGACCCAAAGGGAGGTCTCCAGTGTCTCAGGGCTGTGATCTTGGCCTTGATTCATGACTCAACAGTGAAAGAGCTAGGGCAGGAGAGATGGCTCAGCAGTTAAGAGCATTTGTTTCTCTTTGAGAGGTCCCAAGTTCTATTCCTAGCACTCCCGTGGTTTCTCAAACTGTCCCTATCTCCAGTGCCAGGGGATCCAACACTCTCTTCTGGCTTCCACAGGCACCAGGCACATGGTGCACAGATAGATATGCAGGCAAGACACCGATACACATAAAATATAAGTAAAAATATTTTTTTTTAAAAAAAAAGCTCATACAAATTCATGAAGTCAGCAAGACCAGACTTCAGCTTCATGTACAACAGTGTAGTTCTACAGGTTGTGTGCAAATGTGCCATGATAGATTGCTTTCCAAAGAAAAGATAGGGATGTCATTCGCTTTTTCAAATTGAAAAGAAAATAGCCCAGTGAAATAGCCCAGCAGGTAAGGCACCTGCTACCAAGGCTGAGGATCTGAGTTTGATCCCTGGGACTACATGGTGGAAGGAGAGAAGGAACTCCCTCAAGTTGTCTCTGACTTGTACACACATGTGCTATGGCATGCACCCCCCCTTAAAAAAAAACAGTAAGTAAATTTCTATGTGCAGGGACATGAAGCTCACACAAAGCCACCAGCTATCAGCTAAAGCTGATACCTTGCCTTCATAGCTGCTCTTGCTTGCAGTGTGACTTTGGACTTGAGCCCTTGGGAATGTTACTTGAACTACTCCTTCATCACAGGGTCCTAACCTCTCCTTTCTGCCTATACTGTTACATGACGTTTTTGTCTGTGTCATAAGAGTCAGTCCAAATGGAAATTCTCACTTGATATCATTATCAAGAAATACATAGCAACATTTCTCTGAGAGGGGAACAACTACAAAAGGACAGTGCTTGTGCATGTGTGACTATTAGGTTGCCACAGGCCCTGTGGGATGGGTACATCATGCCCCGGCACTGAGACTCTTACCTGTTCTCCATGGAGGAGTTACACAGGAAAATGTGAACAGCAAGCCCATTGTTAGACTTGATGTCTCCAGCTCCACATAAGGTGTGCAGACCCTGGGAGAGCAGGAGCGAGTATGAGAATGACAAGTGCCTAAGAGACTCAGCCCCTCCCCTCCCCCTGGGTTCCGAGAGTCATGAAGCTTGCAAGGTTCTAGTCTTCTTCCCATTAAGAATGTCCCAGGAGTCATTTGGGAGCTAGGCTGCCTGAAATGTATTGACTTACGCTTGGTGGGCCATGTCCCACCCAATAGACCCTGTCTGAACTCTTAATGACCACATCAGATGAACATAAAGTTCGAACCTGGCATTTCATTATGATTACAGTAAACCTGGAAGAAGGAGGTGATACCTGGTAGAGGGATTTTGGGGGATGGAGGAGAGGACCGGAAGCTTCCCTTAACATTTAGTGCTCCTCAAGTCTATCCCACCCTGGGGCAGCCCTCTCTTGTGAAGGAAAGCCAGACTACTCTCCTCAGAGCAGAACAGAGTCGAGTAGAAGACCTGGTGACTGACTCTAAGTCCTTCTGCTATCAGACCAGATGGTCCAGAATGCAAGAAGCCCTAACATGGGGTCAGGGGAACTTCTTACATCTTTCTGCCCCAACCCTGCAAGCAAGGAGCCAAGACAGAGTGAGTTCTGCTCCTCAGATATCCATAATTTACACAGGAAGGGAATTTGTGTTTCTATTGTCACTTAACTGATAAGTTTGAGGTCTACTACGGTGAGTCTTCACAAGGTATGGGGACACTTATAAAGATAAAGACTTCAAGATGATTTATACAGTTTGGGCTAAAGCGGGGCACCTGGAGTGGCCCTCAGTAAACCCTGAGCCAAGTTGGCCTGCAGAACCCTCCTCTGTCCTCTTGGAGCACTACCCCTGACAGCTCCAGTCCCTTCACCCACACACTTCTTGCTGTGGGTGCAGGTGTCCCAGTACTGCCAACTGCAACTATCAAGAAGGGCTGCCAGTTGGCACTGCACTTATCAGGTTGCCACCTGATTTGATGCCATCTTAGTCCAGGCATCCATTTCAGGAGTTTCAAGTTCTTGGAATGGGAAGTTATTTTGTATTTATTTTTTATTAATCTACATGCAATTTATCATTTCCTTCAAGTATTTTTCAGGTAGCAGACCACAGCAGCACCAGAAGTGCCTATCACTTTGTCAATGACAGGGACATTTTTATAGCATGCCTCATAGGTATCTCAAAGTATCATTTGGGTTCATACTACAGTGAGTGGATTTTCCCATAGGCCTTATGATCTAGTACATTAACTAGGAGGCATGTTTATAACTACAAAACAAATACAATTTATTTCTTTGAAATATTTTACCATTGTATTTCAACATAATTGTGTAATTTGATATAATTTATTTTACCCAGTCAAAAACACAGATTCTGCCAAGCATAGTGACTTATAGCAGCAATCCTAGCACCTAGGACTGAGGGAAGAGGACTGTGAGTTCAAGGCCAGCCTGAACTAGAGGGAGATCCTATTTCAACCAAACCAACCAACCAGCCAAACCCCCCCCAACCCCCAAATTAAAAACCAACAACAAAATAATAAACACACAAATAAAATAGGCACCACCAGACTATCAAAGATGCCATGGATCAAAAAGGTTAGCAGTGCCCGTTCTGACCCAAAGAAGAAGTGTTAGAGGGAGGAAAGTTTACTCTCCTTGGCATTTCTGTGAGGAAAAAAAAAAAACCAAAAACTCCTGGGTGTCCTTTGGTGTCAGAAGGCATATGGTGCCTGTAAATAAGACATCCCTCAGCCAGCCCCCACGCTATACACAGGTGGCTTTGTCTCCCGTTCAGGCTGCTCTGCTTGGCATTCCGACTGCAGATGGTTAGCTTGCTCACCGCAGGACAGAGAATATTGACTTACACTCACAAAGTCCACTTTCTTCTGAGACACTTTTGGAATCTCAAATGGTTTCCATCTAAGCTGGAAAAAGAAATACCCATACAAGAAAATGACTTCACATCCATAGACTTATTAAATGGATTCAATTACACAGAGGAAAAAGAACAACTGCTCCCTGTTCAAGGTTCTGGCCATTTGTAATTTTGTCGTGTTAGAACTAATGATTATCCATCATTTCTTTAAAGGAGCTCTCTCTCTCTCTTTCTCTCTCTCTCTCTCTGTGTGTGTGTGTGTGTGTGTGTGTGTACTCTGTAGGGGTGTATGTCTCCTGTATATGTGCTGTAGAGGTGTGTGTATATGTGTGTGCTATAGGACTGTGCATCTCTTTCTTTCTCTGTGTGCTGTAGGGGGTGTGTGCAGTTAACATGACTATGAAGTGCCTTTGTTCTTCCGCGCTTTCAATTATAAAAATAAAGAGAAGCCACCGCTCCCTTTCTCAGAAGGTGTTTCTTTTAACATTTCGCTCAGGCACATCTGTGAGTTTTGACTGATGCTGCTCTCATGCTATTTATAATCGGCTCCCTTTCCTGGCATGCCAGCCTCTCCGTGTGGGCTCCTGACACTGCAGGGGAAGGCTCTATTTCTACTGGAGTTTTGAATTATTTCCTTAAGACTGAGAAAAATCATCCAGCTGAGATTGGATTTGGTAAATGCAGTTCCCCCTTCAATTTCTTCCCCCAACCTTGGGTTTGTCCCCAGGCTGCCCAATGGTTCACTTTAAATCGCAATGATCTTTAATTCAATAATGAACTGATCTAAGGAAATGGGGAGAAAAATCAGCAGGTGCAGGACCCGCTCATAATCAGCGCAGTGTTTATGAATCAATGTAGCACAGAGCCTGCTGCAGCCAGGCTGGGAGCGCGTCTGCCCAGCAGCCCCAGGGCACATCTTTTGGAGTCACCTGCACCCTGGGGCTAACTCCGTTGGCTGTTAGACCTGGTGGCGGCTGGATGGGCAAGGGCTCCATCAGGGTCCTGGACTCTGCTCATTCTGTATTTTGAGAAGGCAGCCAGGCAGGAAAGTGAGCAGCCAATTGAAGGAGTGTTGCTGAGATTATCCTGCCTGTGATTGATTCATGCAGTCAGACAGCACCTATCATTTCTTAAAAGCAAAGGGGATGATGACATTCTGAGATCACCTCAAAGGATGCAAAATGTGGGCCTGAAAAAAGACCATTGAAATTGTGCTTAAAATAGAATTAGAATGCAGGAAATACTTCAGGGCTGATTCCATTCATGATGTTACTTCTCGGGACACAGGGGGACCCAAAAAGCAAGGAGCTAGAGGGGGCTTTCAACCATTGGCATGTGAGACATTTTGTGCTGGGTAATTCTTTGCTGTGGAGCTGCCCTATGCAGACAAAGAGATGCTTAGCACTGCCCCTGGCCTCTGCCCACGAGATACCAATTGCATTCCTCCAAGTTGTAGCGATCAAAATACCCCCATTATCAAAATACCCCTTCGAGTCCAATATCCTGCCGAGAACTACAGACCTAGAAGAAAATTCCCTTGACCTCAGGAAGGGTCATAGCTGAGCACTGAGTGTGTAGGATGGTGTGTGTGTGTGTGTGTGTGTGTGTGTGTGTGTGTGTGTGTGTGTCAGGGACCAAACTCAGAACTCTGTGCTTGTACAACATATGCTCTCCCTTGGAGCAGTGCCCCCACCCAAGTACTGTTGAAGCTTTAAGGGGTGGCCATGGTCTCTACTAGCCACTGCCTACTGCCTCTCTCTCTGGTAGCAGTAGAGGAAAATCACCTGAAAAAGAGTCATCATCATAGATTTCCCAGAGGAAGATATCTAAGTATCAGATCAATCGTTGCCTTGGCAACCATTCAGTGCTAACCAGAGAGTCTCAACCCTAGGTACCCCTGAGAATTAACTGGACAGCCTTTGAAACCATGACCAAATTAAATCAAGACCTCTGGAAGTAGGACCCAGGCATCAGCATTTTATAAACGTTCTTCCATGTGCAGCTAACCCGGCACTCTGAGATTTGGTGACCACTGCATTGCTGAGCAAACGTCAGCCTTAGAAAAGCCTCCCCAGTCAATTAAGTGATTAGCCATCCAGCTAAACCAAAGAAATCATGGCATCTCGAGCCAGATGTGGAGGTGAAAGTGCCGGCTTCCGGATAGCATCAATGTTTAAATAATATAAGCTTGAATCCAAATCCAAGGAAAAAGGAGAGATGGGCAAGGCAATATGAAGGAAGAAGAGAGAGATATTATATATATATATGTTTATGTAATTATATATTATATATAAATATATACAAAAATAGTTATATATAATATATAAATGTACTTATAAACATATATACTATAAAATATATATTTTATATATATATGTATATATATATATATAGAGAGAGAGAGAGAGGGAGAGAGAGAGAGAGAGAAGGAGAGGTGGGGAGAGCATGGAGGATGGGGAGACAGCAGAGTAGCAAGTGAATTTCTGCTAGCTACTTGGCAGTTGTACTAGAATACCTCTGTAATCTGCCTAGAGGTAGAATATCTGTTGTGTGTAGAAATGAAGCCCCACCTCACAGAAAGGGCACTCTTCTGTGAGAGGGAAAGACCGAACCCAAGGCCTGGTGGGTTGGCAAGGTCTGCTGTGGAGTTTTCCAAAGTCTTGGGTAGCTCTGCAGCTCTTCAGCCACAAGGATAGAGGGACTGAGGTGGTGGGTGAAAATGCGGCCACTTGATGTAGGAAGCTTGCCATCAACAGGGCCCACATTCCAGATGAAGGAAGCCATGCCCCCGACAAGCCTTTCTTCACCAATGTAAAAATGATCGTTTTCAAATGACAGATGGTACAGGGAGAAAAATAATGTATCTGCCATTTGATGGTGGTAGATTGTCCAGAGCCTAAATTGTGAGGACTAATAAAGATCCTGGTAAGACCTGGACCACAAGAGGATTTCAACTTTGGATCATCAGGCAAGAGGTTTTGGTTAGGAGCCCCCGTGTGATGTTTTGGTGAATGTGAAGAGGGATGAACAAAAATTGCCCTTGGAGCGCAGGACAGAACATTCCCTGCTGAGGCCAGAAGCTCAGCCTAGTGCATTTGCGGCAGAGCAGTCGCAGTGGTAAGCCCAGGCCAAGAAGACCATGCATGGGGCAAACCGGAAGATTTGGCTTCTGTTACTGCCTCTGTGGTCAAATTATTTTCCCTGTTTGGATTGCTTTCCTTATATGTAACAATGGTGTTATGGGAGAGACTATAATTCCATGAGCTTTTATAGAAGAGCACCTGACAGTAAAAGGACACTTTGTGACTGATAAACTTTTTGATATGAACTGACATCCTGCCTCCAAAACGCAACACCAATTCATATACTGAAGCCCTAACCTCCAGTGAGATTGCTTGGGAGATGAGGCCAGTCAGTGGTAAATAAGGTCAAATTAAATAATACAATTTAGGAGTGCTAGCCTAAGAAGAATTAGAATCAGGCACTTAGGAGACTGAGGGAAGAGAACTGAAGGTTTTACAGCCTGGGGTATATACAAAGTTCTTGTCGAAACAAATAAACAAACAAATAAAAATAAAACCCAGAGTACCAAACCAAAAACAAAACAAACAAACAAACAAAAACCATACAATTATCTCATTTCTAACATCTAGTCAGAGGAAAGGCTGTGCCCAGTAAAAAAGAAGATGGGTGGTGGTGGTGCATGCCTTTAATCTCAGCATTTGGGAGGCAAAGGCAGGTGGATCTCTGTGAGTTCAAGGTCATCCTGGTCTACAGAGCAAGTTCCAGGACAGCTAAGGCTACACAAAGAACCCTGTCTCAAACAACAAACAAACAAAAAATTAAAAAAGAAACCCATTACCAGACACCAACCCTTCTCAGACCTTGTTATTAAACTGTCAGTCTCCAACCCTTGAGGGTACTGTTCCTGTTATTTAAGTGGCCTAACCAATGGCATAATATAATGCTGAAGTTTTATAACCATTTATTTTTTCATACTATATATAACCACTGAATAACTCCTCCCATATGGAATTTAATTGTCTTTCAAAAACAATGAAATAGATTGTAGTATTTAATATTATATCTAGACTATAGTATTATGAATGCATAGTTATTGAATGATTGAAGAGCTTAATAAATATTAGCATGGAGAACATTGCTTATAAAAGTTCAGATATTGCTTCTGATGTGTGAGTCAGTTCCTCATGCCTGTACAAAGGTGCTCAACTGTTCTGATTGTCCGTCCAGTGTTTCTGTCAACCACTGAGAGAGGGATATTGAAGTCCCAACCATGACTTGGCTTCATACATTTTCTTTTTCTTTCAGTGTGTCACGCAGTTTGCTTTTCACTTTTGCAAATTCTATTGGAGAATAAACTTTTATTTCCTAAAATTAAGGTAGTAAAAGAGTTTGAAAAACATTTCCAAGGGTGTTCAAAGTTGGAATTAAAAATTCTTTAGATTTCCAAAGGAGAGAGATGAGAGGATCCATGTTAACATTTAATGAAGGAGATTCAAAATTCATACCCAGAAATGAAAAGGAAACAAGAGAGGAGAAGCCTCAATGTGTCTGAAGTTGGAAGAGTCAGGTCTGGCTGGATGATGTGACGAGTCCTTTCACTACTGAGTCTTTGATTCACTGATTCCATCCCAAACTGCCACGGACTCAGCTCTGCTGGGGGACCTGGGTTCCCTTCACATTGGTGGGCTAGAGGCAGACGTTTTATTCCAAGCTGGTAACATCATTCAAGAACTTGGAAGTAACTTGTGAGTAAAACCATAGCCACAATGCTTAAGCCAGCACCAGCAGCAGCTATGGTTGGAGGAGGTTCAGGATATTCAGTAATGTTGACTTTTAGACCAAGGAGGGAAGAGGGGGTGGATGAAATAAAGAGTGACTCACAGAAGTCTTCTGCAAATCTACCAATCTCAGGAGAAAAGGAAGTATAATTCATGTGGAGAGAGATAAGGCTTTGCTTGATACATGGAGATCTTTGGAGTAATGGCCAAAAGCCCAGATAAAGAGGATTCAAGTCATAGTAATTTG